TTTTGACAACTGGACTCACACAAGTGGCCACAGACGAGCTTTCATCCAGTGCCGGGACCCCCGGCATGGCAACTGCCGGCGATACACATTCCTGCGATCTCATGCCAGCCAGGCCACAGCCGTGGCCTGGCTTTTCGCTTGGGTGCAGGCGGCCCATCAGTACACCACGTCAAACCATCATGTGGCCTTCAATCCTGATGATGCCGTAACTGAGAGAGTGCAGGAGAGGCAGCGTTTGGGTGCCTGAAAGTTTGGAAAAGTCTCAGAAGCCAAAAGTCACAGTAGGAGACATTGTACCACAGACATGTTTTTTTTTTTGAGGACAATCTTTGTCGCGCGAAGCTTTGGCTCAAGCCCAAGCTAGATGGGTGTGTGGTGGGTGGTGAGCCCGACAGAGGCCAGCGGGCTTTTTTGTGGGTATAGGGTTTAGGGTTTAGGGTTTAGGGTTCAGGGTTTAGGGTTTAGGGTTTAGGAGGGTGTAGGGTTCAGGGTTCAGGGTTTAGGGTTTAGGGTGAGGGTTTAGGGCTAGGGTAGAGGGAGCAAGACATTTCGCAGAGCCGGTGCCGGACTGTGGTCAGAGGGTCCTGACCACAGTGTCTGGGCATGCAGGCGGCGAAGAGGTGGGGTCCAGTTCGCAGAGCCGGTGCCCGAGTGCGGTCAGAGGCCGGGGCCTTTTTGGGGCCTGCAGGCGCTGACCGTGCTCTGGGCATGCAGGCGGCGAAGAGGCAGTTCGCAGAGCCGGTGCTCTAGTGCGGTCAGAGGCCGGGGCCTGTTTTGGGGCCTGCAGGCGCTGACCGCACTCAGGGCATGCAGGCGGCGAATGAGAGGGTCCAATCTGTATCTGTAGCTCCCAAGCCCAAAGCCCTGAACACCCACAAAACCCTAAACCCTAAACCCTAAACCCTAAACCCTAAACCCTAAACCCTTGACTTCCTTGCCCTGCAGGTACGAGCCACCATGCCGGCGCCGAAGGCGATGGCTGCTGGTGGTGAGGAAAGGGATGGTGGCCGTGGCCGTGAAAGCTCCGGCTCCGAGGACGAGGAGCGGAGACGGGAGCCTGCGCCAGAGGCGGCAGAGCAGGAGGCCAGAGAGTCGCCAGACAAAGCAGATCTGGAGAGGAAGAGGCGAAGGGGCCGCTCAGAGTCAGACTCTGAGGAGAAGAAAGATGGAGAAGAGCCACGGCCGTCGCCAGACCGAAAGGCCCGCTCCAGAAGCAGACACAGGAGCCGGAGCGAGGGCAGCAAGAAAGGCTCCCGAGCAGGCTCCCGAGCAGGCTCGCCTGGGAGCACCAAGGGTGGCAAGGAGAAAGACCCCTTGCACGGGCCTTTCGGGGAGGAGGTCGCAGCCTTCCGAGTGTCCAGTCTGCCAGCGGCTGAAAAGGGCGGCTGGCGGAAGAACACTTGGATGGAGGAGAAAGTGAAGTGCCCAGCCTGCTGGTCCCTGAAACCACGGAGCACGCTTGGAATGCACTTGCAGACCAACGCGTACTGCAAGCAGTGGCAGGCACGCTACCGTGGTGATGAGCTGCAGCCAGTGTGAGCACTGTGGCAAAAGGTTTTGGCGCAGCTTCGACCTGGAGCAGCACCTGCACCGCTGCAGCTCGCAGCCTCCCCCGGAGCCCAAGGAGCCACCCCAAAACGAAGGGAGGGCGAAGCCGGAGAAGCGCGAAAGCTCGAGACCTTCTGGAGAGGAGAGAAACAAGGCTCGGGGAAGGGCAACGAGTGCCCCTCCTGCCCGTGCAGCCGCAAAGCAGGACTCGAGCTCCTCCTACGAGTACTACACAGACGAGTCCGAGGAGGTGACGCTTGTGGCCCCGACTCGAAGCCGTGTGTCAGAGGGCAGAGGGGCCTCCGAGAAGAGCAGGGCTCGGGTGCGGTTGCTCAGTGCACCACGAGGCAGGGAAGAGCGGCAGCGGGAGAAGAGTAGGCCTGCAAAGGCAAAGGGGCCCGGGACCCAGCCTGAGCAGACTGTGACAGAGCCTCAGCCTGGCACAGCTGGGGCGACAAGCAGCACTGGAGCCGGAGCCGCTGAGCAGACAGAGCAGTCGCAGCGGCTTCAGGCATTCAATAGGCTTTTGGCCCTGGGCGAGAAGATTTTGTAGGTTTTTGCCGGTGTGCCTTCCGGGACAGAAGCCGGATGGGGCACGGGCACGGTGGCACTGGCTGGAGCACTTGACAGCGAGAGAAAAAGCGTGCCTGAGGGGTTTCTGGGCTCCGTGGGGCTTGGGGGGTGTTTTTTTTGTGGGCAAAAGGGATTTTAGAAGGGTTTTTGGGTGGGGGGGTGTCCCTCCCATGTCCCTCCCGGTTCGGGTTTTTCTTTCAATTGTGTATTGGGGGTGTCTCTCCCGTGTCCCGTCCCGCCCCCGTCCCGCCCCCGTCCCGCCAGCGTCCCGCCCATGTCCCGCCAGCGTCCCGCCCATGTCCCGCCAGTGTCCCGCCAGTGTCCCGCCCATGTCCCGCCCGTGTCCCGCCCGTGTCCCGCCCGTGTCCCGCCCGTGTCCCGCCCTGTCCCGCCCTGTCCGGCCGTGTCCCGCCCGTGTCCTGCCCGTCCTTGATGTTCCACGCCCTGTCCTGTGCTGTTTTGCCACGTCTCCACCCCCAACCGACCCCAGGCCCCCAAATCCCCCTTAACCCCCCTTAGCCCCGCCCCCCACCCAAAAAAAAAATTGTTATTGAAGAAGGAAAAACAAGTTTGCAGCCCCCACCCCCCAAACCCCTTTCTAAATCCTAATTTCGGGCTTGACATGCATGCTTGTGTCACAAGATGGCTTGCAGGCATGTTGGCATGGATGTGGTGTAGGGTTTAGGGTTTAGGGTCTAGGGTTTAGGGTTAAGGGTTAATGGTTTTGGGGTTTAGGGTCTAGGGTTTAGGGTTTTGGGTTCAGGGGCACACTGTGTGACATGCTGTTGGTGTATTGTGTAGCTACATAGAGTCTTGCACTTGTGTGCTGGGCAAAGAGCTCAGCACAGCAGCCGCAGGCTGTGTCATCATGGCAGAGCAAGACTTTCAGGGCCCGCACAGCCCTGAAAGTGTTGTAGATCTGGAACAGGTCGCTTTCCGAGCAGGACGAGTGTTGAGAGCGCTCGGAAGACCTTTGCGGGTCACAGAACCATGTGTGGGCTTGGGAGGCCTGCGAAGACTGTGTGAGTTGTCTCACAGTGAGCACTGCGAGAGCCAGGCCTTTGACACAGAGGCTTCACTGATAAGCTACTACAGAGGACTGGCCAAGCACATGGGAGCTGGGAGCTTGGATAAGATGAAGCTTGGAAGCGACGGAGACATCCTGAATCTCTCAGTCGAGACTTTGCAGCCCTCAGAAGTTTTTGCAGCAGGGCCACCGTGTGGGCCGTGGGCAGCCACAGGGGCTCGAATGGGGACATCAGATAGTCGTAGCGATGTGATGGACACATGTGTGGCTTGGATCATATTCCAAGCGTGGCAGGGCCAGCTTGTGGCATTTGTGCTGGAGAACTCCCGCTTGCTCAAGGGAACCCAGTACCTGGATGAGATTTTGAGTCGTCTCCGGTTCTGTGTGCCTTTCTTCCGTGTCGAGGCACAGGTGCACAATCTCAGGACGATCTTCCCCCATGACAGGGAGCGTTTGTGGATCCGGGGGATGCGCAGAGATTGCTTGGGCCCGGAGGCATCTTTGCCAGTGCCATTCACTGCCAAAGACTTGGGAGGGCGTGTGGACATGAGGACCTTGATCGACTCCGCAGTGCCCCCAGTGGACCCTGCCTCACTGAGCCACCGAATGAGGTGCAACCTTGCTGCCTACATCACACGGATTGAAGAAGATGTGCTGGCAGGCAAAGCAGGGACCGTGGCCGTTGTAGAGCTAGACCGAAGTCCCTTGCGTGATTACGGGAAGCAGATTGTCTATGACATGATCCCGCCCCTTCGCACTGCTGGCCCCAAGTTGTTCCTGCTCTTGTCGGAGGAGGTGAAGAACTGCTTGCCATGGCAACGGCAGCGACTCCACAGGTTCGTGACCCCAGAGGAGCGCTTCATGTTCCAAGGCCACAGCGGCCTGGCGTGTCGTATGTTTGATAACAAGACTGCCGCCTTGAAGGCAGCAGGGAACGCTTATCATCCCCTGCATTTGGCTTCCATGCTGTGCCCAATGCTGGAGCAAGCATACATCTATGGTGCTTTGCCAGAAGAACCGACAAGGCTGAGCACCCAGGAGCTGCAGGAGTTGATTCCTGCAGTGACGCCCGCGGCGTTGTCTGACGACCCTGCGGAGGCTGAAGATTTCTTCAATTTCTTCTGTCAAGATGACAGCGAAGAGTGTGAGAGCATGATCAAGAAAGGCAATCAAGCCTCGAGGGCGTTGGCAGCCTCATGTGTGGACAAGAAGAGGTCTGGAAGCTCCAGTGTGCATGGTGCAGGGCCAGCCAGTCACGGGGCAGGGTCTCACCTCAAATCTGAAGTGAAGGCTGAAGTCAAGCAGGAGCCCATGTGCAACCCAGTAAGGCCACAACAGCAAAGGTGCTGGCCCCAAGGCTCCCTGAAGAGAGGCTGCGATGTCGTGAACTTGGCAAGTCCCCTGAGACGAGTCCGGGGCAAGTCGGTGCTGTACACTGACAGAAATGATTGAGAGGATGCAGCAAGCATTGCCAACAATTCGTAATTTAGAATAGGTGTGGGTGGCCTTGTGAGGCCACCTGCTTGACTTTGCACGTAGCCTGTAGAAACAGTATAACACATAGGCGGGGCCACGGTGCTCGAGCGGTTATCCCATGCAGGAATGCGGAGTGAGGTGTAGCCATGCTTCGTTTGGGTGACTTTGCAAACTCTGTGTGTGTCTGCTGTTCAGCCACCTTTGGTTCTGGAGCGGTGTGTGTGTGTGTGTGTGTGTGTGTGTGTGTGTGTGTGTGTGTGTGTGTGTGTGTGTGTGTGTGTGTGTGTGTGTGTGTGTGTGTGTGTGTGTGTGTGTGTGTGTGTGTGTGTGTCTGTGTGTGCTGTAACCTGTGTTCTGTGCAGCTGCTCGCAAAGCCATGAGCAGCACGCCGACACCAAGTGAGGCGTCCGGCAGCCAAACTGGCCTGGTTCCTGCGCTACTGTGCCAGAAATGTGGTGAAGCCACAAACATGGCCAGTAGCAGTGCTACTGGCCGAAACCCTCTGTTGCGAGCCTGCAACGGCTGTTGTGCAACGGAGAAGTGGCTGAATAGAAGCCTGGCCAAGCCCAAGGGCCGAGATGAAACGGAAGAGGAAAAAGCACGCCGATTGAACGCACAAAAGATCAAAGATGAGCTGAAAGCCACAAGACGCCCGAAGACAGGAAGAAGTGGTTTGCAGAACAAAAGCTTTCCCGAGCCCAAGAAGATCACCGAACAAAGCGAACCTTCAGCTCTGCAGTTGGCCATGTGGAAGAAAGAAGGATTGCTTCCTCCTTCAAAGACAATGTGGAGGTCTACGTACCGTTCAGAACTTGGGCAGCTCAAGAAATGTCGCTCAAGGTGTACAACACTTTGAAGGAGGCTGAGGGAGGCTGGGAGAAACTCCTAGCAAACCCGGCCACCTTGACCGTGCAGCAGAATGGCCAGACCTGTGTGAAGCAGTTCCACGGGGTGGAGGTGCGACAACGCGACGGCCACGAGTTCCAGTCAGGACTGAGGCAGAGAATGGATATCTCCGATGAGAAGGAGCTGGATGAATATTTGGAAGAGAATGAGAGCCGGCTGAAGCGAGCAAAGAACAGGCTTTCAGTCGAGGCCAAGGCAAACGAGGAAGAAGGTGGTGAGAAAATCATCCCTCTGCTTACTGTCCGCAAAGACCTGGGGCAGCTGAAAGAGATTGAGGAAGCAAGGGATGCAGAGATGCATGCCCAGGCCGCTGCCATTGCAGAGAGAAAAGCCAGGGAAGCAAAGCAGAAGAAAGACAAAGAAGAGAACCAGGAGAAGTCCCTGCCCCTGGAGAAGCTGGCACTGCAGTCTGCAAAGGGAAAGGCAGTGCAGACCATGACAAACGTGCTCTTGAGGCTGCAAACAGTTTACAAGACCTTGGAAGAGGAGGCCAACAAGATCACAGAAAACGAAAGCGAAGACATCAAGAAGGAGCAGGCTGCCAAGTTCCGGTGTGTGGCCATTGCCATGCAGACCCTGGAAACCGCCATCAATGAGAAGGACAAAAGTTGGGAGCATGAGACAAGCACACACCAGACTGCGGACCAGCTGGCGGCCCTGAGGCAGCAAATCACCGAGGCGACCAAAAACTTCCACACAACCTCTGAGGAGTGCAAGGCAGCGAGAGACACGGTCACGGATGTGAGGTGCTGGCTGAACAGCACAAAAAAGGCAATCCGCGACGCAGAGAAAGCAGCCCAGAAAACAGCTGCTGGGAAGAAGATAGCCAAAGTTGCTGCCAGCAACACCCTGGAGCAGCTGGGCATGGCCTTGGCCAAGGACTGCAGCGGCATGACAGAGTCATGTGGCAACATGTCCTACAGCCTCAATGTCCAGCAGATCTTGGCGGGAGGCCGTTTTTAAGCTGGACTACTACAAGTTGCAGAAGACATGGGTGGCAGAGAAGATGAAGTTCGTGCAGGGCAGCAGTTGCTCCGCCATCGTGTCCAAGAAAGCTGTGGCCGGCAGGCTGGCCCAGTTCTTGCAGAGGTCTTGGCCCGACATCCTGGGCGATGACCCACTGCGAGGAATTCCTGCCGAGGCACAGGACCATTTCGTGATTCAGTTCGCCCAGAGGCACAGCAACACCGGAAGTATCTATGCGCGAACAGAGATGAATTGCCCAATGTTGCTGATTCTCTTGGAGGGGGAGTTGGCAGTTGGAGGGTTCCGTCCTGAGAGGCTGGGTGGCAAGACCCTAGCCGAGGAAGTGAAAAAGTTGGAAAGCATGACAGCTACACAGATCCGACTGGAAGCGGAAAATCATGGCTGGATTTCCAGGCTGAAGCCTGGAGCAAGCATTGTGATTCCGTCCAACTGCGTGTGGTTTGAACTTTCGGGGGACGATGACGAGAATCACAGCATTCGCCAAGTGCTTGGACGAGAGGCCTTCACACCTGCAATGCTCCAGTGGCTGCAGCAGATGGACAAGGAGGGTAGCCTGGCACAGAACGAGGCCTTGGTGAAGTCAGGCAGCGTGAAGCCTTCGATCCAACTCGAGGGCAAGATCCAAGGGTCACAACCGTGAGATTTTGTAACCGACTCACGGTGCTTTTCCAGTGAAGCCTTCGATCCAGCTCGAGGGCAAGATCCAAGGGTCCTACTGTCTGAGGTTTTGCCAGACTCACAGGCCACCAAATACGATAGCCAGAATAGCCAGATGTGAGCAGAGTTCGAGATCCTCGAAGACTCACAGCTAATAAGATCTAAAGTGCCAGCAGTGAGTGGGGCTAAGTACTCTTCTCAACTGTCAGCATAACACTGCAAGGACAATACCCAATGCTGTGATTCTGCGAGGTGCTGTGTGGCGCAGGGGCCAGCTCGATGGCATAGCACAGATACCGAGGCCGAGTGAGGGGAAAAGTCCCAAGACCAGGAACAAGTGCCGGAAAGCACTACAAAGATCATGTGCTGTGTAAGGTCTGTGAAAACTAGTCAGCTGACGATCGAAGTGCCAGGCAGTCAGTGGGGCTAAGTACTGTTCTCAACTGTCAGCAGCCGGAGACTGCAAGGCCCCATATCCAATGCTGCGAGTCTGCGAGTCTGCGAGGTACTGTTTTGCAAGCACAGATGCCTAGGCCACAGGATGGGAACAGGTCCCAAGCCCATGAAAAAAAAGAAAAACGTATATGCTAGAATGGTGCCCGTTGCGAATGGATGTGCAATGTGTTGTACTGTGTGAAGGCTTATGCTGCCCAGCACTGCCTGTCAGATGTGCAGCATGCATGTTGTCGCATTGCAAGGGTTTGACAGACCAGTGTGATAGAAAATAATGTGCTCAACATTTCTCATATATTATCATTGTCGATACTGTGTGTGAGATCATCGTCAATGGCCAGCTCCCAAAGGGGTGATACTGCAATCGCAGCACAGGAAGCTCAGCCATCTGTGGGAGACACCAAAAGCGAGAGACCTGGACCTGCGATACTGCCGACTGCAGAGCCTTGCTCGAATCAAACCATCAGACGCGGGGTCAGGAGAACCTTCGAAAAAGATGGCAAAGATTTGGAAATCGCTTGTTTGGAGAATGAGGTGGAAGAGCTCAAGTGTACTTTGAAGCGAACTCGACTTCTGGCAGATAGCCAGGAAAAGGCCATCTCAGCTTTAACGACAAAGAAAGCTGAGTTGGAGAGTAACTTGGCTGAAACAAGACAGAAGCTTCAAGCAGCTGAGAAAAGGCTGTTGCGACAGGATGCTTCCCGTTCGCAGGGCCTGGACAAATTCAGGTTGGTCTCCAGTCAGGGCATGCAATCTTTGTTTGGAGACACTGCGACCAAAGCAAAGCCGAACCCTTGACCCATGTTTCAAGTTTCTCGTTTCGGTCCTTGAAAGGAACGATTTGGCGAGCAAGAAGATAAAAGAAAAGAGCACGGGTAGTTCAAGTCCTGAGGTCCAGGGTGGTGGTGGGTTTTTTAAGACTCTAAACACGAACCAGCTCCAAACACCTAAACCCTCAATTCCATCCTTGAAGGGTGGATTCAAATGGTGAAACATCTTACTAAACCCAGTGACAGAATGTCAATAGCTGCAGTTTTGTAACAATGCCCGGGGAAGTCGGTTGGCGAAGACATAAGATTGCAGCTGAAAGCATTGGGGTTCAGTCCAACTTCCTGGTTGCATGGTTGGAGTGGTGGGACAGGAAAAGCAAACCATGTCATTGGCAACTAGCCTTTCCACACAATGACTCTCGCAACATTGCGACAAATACACAGCAATAGCCAGGCAGAGAGCACATGTTCAACATAAGTTCAAGCAAGAAAAACATGCGTCATCTGCAAGCGTTCCATTTTAAGTGGGAAAAAACAAACGCAATAAGTGCCAACAGGTGCAGGGTTTTGAGTTGGCATAGTATATGTTCTGGAAATCTTGGTGTCAAAACCAATGAATTCCCTGTTTCAGGGACCTGCCCAATGCCAGAACGAAGTGTTCTGCTTTGAAACATGGTGCCAAACCCGAACCGTTAACCAGTTTTTCAGCTTTCTGGAGCAAGTGGGGTCCAGACCCCAAACCGATTACGGAAATGTATGCAAAATTTCATGGGGTTTGGCGGACCCGGTCATTAGGGCAACCACCATATCGACAATGTGCTTGCAATCCTTGAGCTTCAGGTACGCTTACAACCAGAGCTTGGAGAATGTGACGTTTGCCTGGCAGCTTGCAGTCCTTGAGCTTCGTCACGTTTGCCTGGTAGCTTGCAGTCCTTGAGCTTCGGGTACGCTTACAACCAGAACTTGGATTGGAGAGTGTGACGTTGGCCTGGCATGAACATGGAGCACGCGGGCGTAGTCAGCATGTGCCTATGTTGAGCAGTGACGATCCCCACCCCCTCCCTCCCTAAACTCAGCGTCATGCAGTGAAGTGCGATTTTGATCATGCATATCACGCGTTCATGCGCAGCTTGTCCCTACCCCAGTCCCTCACCTACCCAGAGCGCTTTTCACCAGTGGCTGACGTAGTGGCAGCCTGGCAGCTTGCAGTCCTTGAGCTTCGGGTACGCTTACAACCAGAGCTTGAACTGGAGAGTGTGACGTTGGCCTGGCAGCTTACAGTCCTTGGGATTTGGGTACGCTTACAACCAGAGCTTGGAGCATGTGACGTTTGCCTGACAGTTTGCAGTCCTTGAGCTTCGGGTACGCTTATACCCAGAACTCGAAGAATGTGACGTTTGCTAGACAACTTGCAGCCCTTGAGCTTCGTGACGTTTGCCTGGCCACTTACAATCCTTGAGCTCCGGGCACGCTTACAACCAGAACGTTTGCCTGGCAACTTGCAGTCCTTGAACTTCGGGTGCGCTTGCAACCAGAGCTTTGAGAATGTGACGTTTGCCTGATTAGGGTACGCCTACAACCAGAGCTTAGACAGTGCGATGTTTTGCCTGGCAGCTTGCCGCTTCGGGCACGCTTACAACCACAGCTTGGAGAACGTGACGTTTGCCTGGCAGCTTGCAGTCCTTGAGCTCCGTTTACGCTTACAACCAGAGCTTCAACAATGTGCTTGCAATCCTTGAGCTTCGGGTACGCTTACAACCAGAGCTCGGAGAATGTGACGTTTGCCTGGCAGCTTGCAGTCCTTGAGTTTCGTCACGTTTGCCTGGTAGCTTGCAGTCCTTGAGCTTACAACCGGCACGCTTGCAACCACACCTACCCCACACCCTTTCCCCCCACCACGTCACAGGAACATGCCCGTCAATTTCTGAGACCCTACCCCACCCCCTTTCCCCCACCACGTCCGCTTTTCAAAACAGCTTGCAGTCCTTGAGCTTCGGGTGCACCTACAACCAGAACTTGGAGAATGTGACGTTCGCCTGGCAACTTGCAGTCCTTGAGCTTCGTGATGTTCGCACGGCGGCTTGCAATCCTCGAGCTTCGGATACGTTTGCGACCAGAGCTCGGAGAGTGTGACGTTATGTAGTGCAACCCTTGCACGGATTGACATACTCGAGCGACGCACCGTTGCAGTCGCCTTGCTCAAAGTGTCGGAAATTCGAGAGTCTTAGAACTCCTCGCCGTTTTGCGATAGCCATGTCTTCTTGCGGCTTTGCAGCCTTGGCAGACGCGGTGATTAAGTCCGGCGTGAATCCCGAGCTCTTGGTTCGCCTAAAAGAAGACGAGATACATTCTTTGTGGCTTGTGCGCAAAAGGGTCCAGGACGAGGGGTTGCTTGCGCTAGCCGCCCGAAACCCCCTAGCGCATGCTCCGAACACTCGGCCACCCGTGCGCGTGTTACACACTTGAGCATGTTGCGTTGCGCACTTGAGTGTTCAGCTGTCGAGCTTTCAATCTGTTTGCCTGTGTGCTGCTGAAGTCGGCTTCAAGCAGCAGCCGACGAATTGTTGTTGTGTGCTCTGCGTTCTTGCTGTTGTTATGGAGCGGCCACGCCGCCGGGTCACCGCGTCGCCGTACAGCTTGGACAACCTAGGCATGGGCGTACCCCGGCCTATCCGGCGTTCTACCACCTCTCGCTCTTCGACGATGCAGGGGATGGAGCTTGCGTTTGCCGGCGCAGTCGTGTCTCCAGGCGTCCAAGACAGTGTGTTGAGGGCCCCCAAGATCCCACATGAGCTGCCTGGCGCAGCTGCTGGCGAGTCTTGTCTTCGTGACCATGAGAAACAAGATCGCTTGATGTTGGCGTCAACCTTGGCTAAGTTCTGCATTCATCTTGGCGGCGCAGAAGGAAGCAGTGTGCTTGTTGCTATGGGTACATGTGTGTCTGTCAATGATATTGCCCCTCTGTTCTGCGATCGGGCGCCATCTACTTTGCGTCGGCATATCTCGGGATGGAAACGCTGGTTGCAGTTCTGTAGCGCGTTGGAGTGGAGCGCCGCTTCTCCATCCCTCACGCAGGTTGTCGATTTCGTGAAAAGCTTATCTGAAGGAGTGCGAAGCGATCGCGGCCGCTTGCGTGCCAAGTCTGCCTCGGGCGTACTGTCAGCAATGAAATTTGTTGCTTATAAGCTACAGCTCTCAATGCTTCACGCGTCGCTTACCAACCCCCTGGTACAGGCTTGGTCACGCCAAGGTATGTGGGACAGCATGCCAGTGAAGGAGGCGGTTCCTCTTCCACTTTGGGTTGTTCGCAACTTGGAGCTTGCAACCATGCAGGATCTTGGAGACGGAGAATGGGTGGTTTTGTGCTGCTTGTTGATGATTTGGGGCAGTCTTCGTTGGAGTGATGCTCAACGGATGGATCTTTCCTCCATCTGTTCCAGCCGGGGCGAGGTCAGAGGGTGGTGTTGGCGCACCAAGTCTTCTCCCAGAGGCATGCCCTTCGGAGTCCTCAGCAAAGGCTGTACAGGCTGCAACTGGGGAGCGCGCTTCTATGACAGAGTTTGCCAACTGCGCTCTCAGTTTCCTAAGCGCGATTTCTTGGTTGGCAGTTTCGACAAACCCATAGGATATTCCTGCATGCTGGCACAGTTGCGTCGTTGCTTGGTGCATTTCGGTGGTGTTCCGCGGGAGCACGTTCACATGTTCACTCTTCATTCTTTGAAAACTACTGTTCTGGCCTGGGCCCTCCAACTACAGGTGGCCGAGCCTGAGAAGGCAGCTCAGGGCCATCACCGCTTCAACGGCACTGCTCGGTGCGTGCCGCGGTACGGGCGGAACGATATCATCCCGGCTATACGTTGCCAGTCAAAGGTCATTGGTGCGATTGCTGGCGGCTGGGTTCCGTCAACACCCCTGAACCGGGGTTGCATGACTTTAGAAGAGGCGGAGTCCTTTTTTGCCCATGCTCAGGCTGCGGCCACTATGCCAAAGCCATCTGATGCTCCTTGCGAAGCCTGCTCAGATACCGAGGACGAGGACGAGGACGAGGTCGAGGAGGAGGGCGAGGAAAGTATTTCCGAGCCCCAGCGTATGTGCAGCCCTGGCAGCTCCTCTTCGGACACAGACAATGCCATCTCCAGTGAAGACGAAAGCGTTGCGTCGGGGTCAGAACATGAGTGCGCCCGCCCCAATTGTGCAGGCGTGTGGATCGTCAACGGCAGTTCCGGGTATTTTCATCGCGCGGTGAAGATTGATGTTGAAGATTCGCGCCTGGTCTTGGCCAACTGGCGGTTGGCGTGCCGGCCTTCGCTGGCGCTGCGCGACTTCTACAGTTTGTCGCAAGATGACCCGCAGTTTGCAGGATTTAGCCCTTGTCAGCATACGGGATGCTTTGGACAGACGCAATGATGCTTTGCTTACCTGAAAGCTCAGGTGTGATTGCTTGTTACTGCAAGCGCAGTTTGGGTGGCGTCCCGGACGCACATGTGTGCGTCGTGAGTACGGGCCCCCTAGTTCGCTTTGCGACCAACATCGCACGGTCCTACGTGATGTCGTTGTTAGTCTGGATGTCCCGGGCGTGCAAGGGTGCGCTGTTAGTACGGGACTCATCCAGTTTGCGCATTGTTGTTGGTGCTGCTTGAGTTTGAGTGCGTGATCACTTTCTGTCAGGTACTCGCGTATTCTTGAGCTATCACCTAAGTTGTCAGCCAGTACTGGCGCTTGCGATTGGTTGTTTGTGCCTGCTTGTTGCTGCTTGCGTGGAGCAATGGGCGACGATTCCAAGTGGTTGGAGTCATTAGGCGCAACGGGAGTGCCTGATTCGATCTTGAAGAAGGTGTCCTCGAGTTATTGCTCCCTCCAAGTGTTTGCGCATTCCTTCGACGAGAAAGCGCATTTGGACTTGTTTGCTCACTCGCTGCTGAAGGAGGCCAAGTTGGTTCCAGAGGAAGCAGCAGATGTGACTTGGAAGTTTCATCCTGTGCTGGGATCCCTGCGTGCGCTGTGGGTAAAAGCACGTGCTAGCATTGCCGCTGGTCCGTTGCCTGCGGCCGGCAGCTTGCCGCCAGCACCTTTCCCACCCGCAGCACCTGCGCTCAATGCGTCCTCATTACTCTCTCTTGGTGTCCCTCAGCAGCGTTTAAACACAGCTGAGCGTGACAAGCTGAAGCGTGCCTTCGAAAAGTCTTACTCGGGAGTGGTCCTTGCTCCTTCGACGCTGCCGGGCCTTAGTTTCCTGCAGTGTGTGCAGTCCCAGTGCGCGTCTAAATCTTGGGAGTGGCTGTGTTGGAAGCGTGTCCTCAGCGAAGAAAATGTCGGGCAGATCAAGGACAGGAAGCGTGGAAGCCAGCCCCTTGAGGTCGCCGACCTATTGGCCCATGCAGCTGGCTTGGTGCATGACGAACTTGATATTGATCTCGGTGGTTCAGCTTATCGTGTGGAAAAGCTGCTGACTGTGCGCTCCCACGCGTACTGCATGTGCGGCGCAGGGCATTTGTCTTCTTGGGGGTTGTACACCCAGGCCTTTATGGCTCTGTACACCAAAAAGCCACCGGAGGGCTTCCGGGCACCAAACATTCAGGAAGCCGAAGAAGCGGACAAATGTGCCATGTGTGCGGTGTTTGAATTAGCCTTTGAGGGTTCGTCCTTGGATGATGCATTTGCCACTGTCGTCACGGACCGAGGCATGCTGCGTGGCTTGCTTGTTCCCCAGCCCCGTGTGATCAAGGGCCCAAACAAGCCCACGCCAACCCTCAAGGACCCCAGGCAGCCTCCTCCTCCTCCCACGCCCAAGGGTCCGAAACGGAAGAATCAGAACACTGAGCTGGCGCCTGCCAAGAGAGTCAAGAATGCCTTCTGCAATGCCTTCCAGGAGGGCAAGTGCTCCCGCTCTGCGGATGACTGTCGTTTCCTTCATAAGTGCAATGTTTGTTTCTCGGACTCTCATGGTGGGGGGACATGTCCCAAAAAGTGACTAGGTCCAGCTGTAGAGGACCATCCTGCGTCGGGTGGACGCTGTGTCCGATTGAAGAGTGCGTCAGCGTATTCTGAAGTGACACCTCATCTGCCTGACCGATCGGGCGTGTTTCCGATCTCAGTTCCTGATACTGTGTGTGAGGCAGCGTTGTGTCCTGTTCCCAGACATTGTACTGCACAGCCGGCGAAGACTGTCTCTTCTGCGCCCGATGTCATTCAGTCGGTGCCTGCGTGGGATCATCAGCCTCGACTGCACATCCCTGACGGCGGCGGGAACGGGTCCAGTGCTGCGTGGCACTCCCCGTTGGTTGCGCGGGATCACTTTCGGGGTTTAAGGCAAATGTTCGGTTCTTTGGTGGTTGAGTGGGGTTTAGTGGGTCGGCTAAGGTCCCTGTTGGATTCTGCAAGCGCAGACTGCCTTTTCTCAGCCGATGAGATTGGGAAGCTTCGCAATTGCCTAGTGGAGTTTGTATGCGCGAAAGGATTCCCTTGCACTGCGGCGATTGCTGAGTTCCAGCCATTGCTGCTAGACGTTTGGGAAGCTTTATGCAAGATGACCGGTGACATTGACTCCATCTTGCCTTCCGTCCTGCGCGAGGGCGTGCCCACCGGCATTCTACAACCCATCCCACCGTCCGGGGTTTGGGACCCTGTTGAAGCTGCCGAGCCCACCTTGCCAGAGGAACTCCTTGTGCACCTTGAGCCTTGGCGCAGCAGGTCAGAGGATCCTGCTCTAACCAGGAAATTATTGCAGAAGGACATCGATGCCGGGCACTTGTTCGAGGTAGTTGGCGGTGAGTCCGCTGCACGCTCTCGCTGGGGGAAAAACTTGGCAGCCGGAAAACTTGGTGTTGTGCATGCTGCAGGTAAAAACCCCAGGTTAATTGGCGATGGCTCTGTGAGTGGTGCCAACGCCATGTGTCTCATCCTCGAGAAGGTGCACCTTCCAACCTTGCATTCACTGCAGCGCTTCCTCAGTTCTGCCCCGCCGGGGTCTTGCTGGACGGCGCTTTGCTTCGATGTGCGCGGAGCACACAAGCTTGTCACTGTGCGGGAAGCAGAGCGTGGCTTTAGCTGTTTTGTTCTTGAGGGGAAGTGGTATTGCTATCGTTCCTGCTATTTTGGATGCAGGTGGGCTGCGTACTGGTTCTCCAGGTTAGGCGGGATGCTGGTTAGGTTCCTACATCAATTCGTCCGCATTCCGCACGGGCTTATGTTGTACGTGGACGACGGCATTTTGCTTGTGCCTTCTAGCGTTGCCCCGCTGGTCGCTGCAACCAGCGTCATGTTTTTGTGCAGTTTGGGCATCCCCCTAAGTTGGGAGAAGCTGAAGTTCTCCCAGCAACTCTCCTGGATCGGCTGGCGGTTCCAGTTCGATTCTTTCACTGCTGTCCTGCCCGAAGCCAAGGCCGAGAAGTGCGTTGGACTTCTCCAGCCTCTACTTAGGTCGGGAGTCAAGATGCTGCGTAAAGATGTGGAGCGCGTGATAGGACTGCTCTTGTGGTTCACGTGCGGCGCCTTCTGGCTGCGCCCCTGGCTGCAAAGCTTCTATGCACTGCTGCATAAGCCCTTGACGACTTGTCGCCTCTTGACGCTGGAGCAGTTTGGTGATCTGCTAGATCACCTCAGCGATCGGCTCGTTGTTCATGGCAGTGTGCCTTGCTGTGATATTCTCGATGGCTGGAAGCTGCATTCAGTTAACAACACGGTAGTTCGCTCCCTTGATGCCCCCGCCTTGCAGTGCCCGCGGGTTAAGGGCGGTCAGGTCTCGGTGGTGTTTTTCGAGTATGGGAGCAGGTTTGTTCGGCCGAACTCTGACTGCGCCTTCGCCGCCAAACTCTTCCTTCGGTCAGTTTCAGAGCGTGTGCAGATTCCCCTTGTCATTGCGCCGGCGTGCCCTACTGTGTGTGCCGCGGACGCTTTCGCCACCCGCGACCGTGCAGGTATAGGTGAGGAAGCGAAGGTCATATTGGGGCGGATGTTGGCCAAAGATGCTTGCGAGGATGACGTCCAAGCTTTCTGGTGTCTGGTGTCAAATGCTGAGAGCATTGTACGTCCATGTTGGTCATGTTCATCAGCAAGACACTCTTCGCTCTGGGCAGGGGTGGCTGTGAAGCGTGCTCGCATAGACAGATGCAGCCCACTGTTGTCGCAGCCGTCTTGTAGCAGTCTAGGTGTCAGTGCAGTTGTGGTGCTCTTCAAGACACAAGCTGCTGCTCGTCGACCGGCTCGCTGGACTGCGCAAAGCGTGCATCTACAAGCGTCTGTGTGTGCTGATCAGAGACAACGTGGTGAAGCGTTGGAACGTGAAAAGTGGCTGCAGGCACTGACCGAATTGTTGTCTGAAGCAGCTCTTCCGGCCGTCTGTGGTGTCGGGAGTGAAGAAGGGAACCTCGCTCTGAAACGCTTGGCCAAAGGACGGCGAGCCACCACATTGCGCAAGCATGTGCGTACCTGGCGGCGGGTAGCTTTCTGGGTTAAGGCCACTTTCGGCGTCTCGTGGCCGTCAGGAGAACAATTTGCTGCGTATCTATATTCTCGGGCGGCGGAACCTTGTGGTCGCACAGTCCCTGGATCTTGCTTGAAGACCCTTATGTTTATGGAATCTGCAGGAGAATTATCGGAGCATCTCAAAATCAGCAACCTCCCAGCGGTTCGTAACAGCCTGGAGGAGTTGGCGTTGGAACTGAGTGCCAAGAACCCGCAGGGGCGCAAACAAGCACGCCAGCTCCTGACGTCGCAGGTGTGCGCCATGGAGCGACTTGTGGTGCTGGGAACTGCGCCGCGTTTTGTAAGGGCTTTTGCGTGGTTGAAACTTGTTAAGTTATGGGGTGGCCTGCGTTATTCGGACACCGAAGGTATGCCGTTCAATGGCATGCGTCTGGAGTCGCGCGGTCTTTATGCTCGGCTCGATCGCACGAAGACCAGCGGAGCCGGGAAAAGGATCGAAGTTCTTCACATGTATATCTCCACGAAAGCCTGGCTTTCAGAAGCAGATTGGTTGCGCTGTGGGTGGCAGCTCTGGGTGGAGCTGAGCAACGAAGCTGGCATCTCTGACAGGGATTTCTTCCTGACTCGTCCTTGTTCAGGTCTTGACGGCTGCACGAGCAAGATGGCCCGCTATTGCCATGCGGCGGCGATGTCTCAGGCCTTGTTCCAGGTGCTGGAAGCGACGTCTTCTTTCGTGGTCGAGATTGGAGAAGCCGCCAATACGAAGCTTCTTCCGATGGGCGCTGGCACCGTTTGGAGTGAACATTCAGAAAGGGCAACACTGCGCACTTGGGCGGCTTCCTGTGGAGTTGACGAACTTGCCAGTAGGCAGATGGGGCGGTGGATGCCGTCTACAGACGAATCCTACATCCGCTCTATTCGAGGCAACGTAGAGAAGGCCCAGGAACGCATCGCACGGAAGATCAAAGCCGGCTTGGGCGGCCCGGACTTCCTGGACGAAAACAGTGTTCTGTCGCATGTGTCAGCTCGCCTGGAGGAGCTGGGGCTGGCGGAGGTGGAGAGGGACCAATGTTTAGCGACGTTGAAGTCTTTCGATGAGGAGCGGGATGCAAGCGTTGACTCTGCCACTGACAGCGAGTCTTGTTCTTCCGCGAGTTCTGTGGCACTGTTGGCGCATGATGAGTCAGCGCGTGATCCGCATGATCGCAGCCATTTGGGTCACTACTTTGTGAGCGTCGTGGGGCACTGCAAGCGAAGGACTCTACATAAAGGAGGTGAGTGTCATCGGGTTCCTGGTGTGCATTATCGCGAGTTTGTGGACTGTGGATCGGAGATGCCGACGGTGTCCGACTACGATCATGCATGCAGAGACTGTTTTCCACAGGGGACACGGCAGCTGTCGGAGGATAGCGAAGACGAGGCGGACTCCTCTGCAACCTCGGCGTCTTCTTGATCTGAGGGGCAGTGAGCATGATGCATCAATGTACATTGTGACTTTATCCAGGCAAGTGACAGGAGGTGGGATCTGCGGTGGGGCTCCGGCCACCCTGCTGCGGATGCAAAGGAGGGAGGGAGGTGTTGAGCAGGGTGACGGGGGCGTGTGCCGAGTTCAGCGGCGCTGGGATTGAAGGGATGCGTTGCTGTCGGTATGCGCGTCTGTTGCGGCTCACATGTGTTCTTTGTCTCGGTCAGTGTTCGTTCGGCCCAGACAATCATTGAGGATTCTTGTCGTCTTTCTTCTGCTGGATTGCAACAATGGCGACCGTGGAGCAGCAAAAGGCGCTGGTGCAGACCTTGGATCCAGACCTCGCGGGCTTGCTGCAGACAAAGGACGTGTCCCTCAAAGTTCAGGCGCTTGTCGCTCAGAAGAAGGTGAAGACTATCTCCAGATTGTCTGCTATGGCGGATGATCGAAAAGGCATTCGCGAGTTTTGCGTGAAGACTTTGGGTTTAGAGGCGTCGGTCGGCGACGATTTGGTGGAAATTGCGAGCGTGGTAGATGCTTGGGAGTCAGCGCGCTCTCGTGTGGATGCCCGGAACAAGGCAGAGGGAGAAGCCGTAGTGGACGGCCTTCCGAAGGTGGTGGCCAGGACCGAGCTAGCGCAGTTGCGCGACCGATTCGAGACCGCCTTCTATCCTTTGACAGAGAAGTTTATGCCTGCGAACGCGACTCTGGAACAAGTGTTCGATATGGTGGACAATGGCGAGTTTGTGAACATGTCGTTGTCAGAATTTGCCTCCAAAGAGAACGCGGCGCAGGAGCCTGTGGCGGCTGTCATTGACCGGAGCACAGGTGCAATCAAGGTCAAGAAAGGGCACATCCAAGTGCCCATGCCTACGAACGCGGAAGAGTTGCGCGTTCGACTACGGGTGGTTGCGCACTCCTTTGTGCTGAGCTCATTGCGCTATCCACACGTGGCCGTCCTGAAGGGGATCGCGCCGTCTCACTTCCATAATTATGCAGACTACTTGCTTGGTGACTTTGTGCTCGGGCTGCATGCGCGTGACTCGACAGGAGGTATTGTCTCCTCTCCCTCTTTCGACTTGGTGGTTGCGTATGAGTACCAGTTGCGGAAGCATGTGACGAAGCTCCTAAACGCCGGGCAAACCCTGGTGGCGGCCTTGGAGACATCTATGGCGGACCCAGTGCTAAAGGAGCGGTATTTTGTCACGCCGTCGGCGTTTCGCCTGGCTGAATTAGCTACTGTGGGCAACAGCAGGAGAGAGCGTTCTCGCAGCAGACGTGTGCGTCGCGACCTGGGGCTGACTCGAGCTTTTGGAAAAGGCCAAAGCAAGGGCAAGTTTGCGGCACTCAAGAGGCTCACAGAGGATGGCCAGCAGATATGCTTTGCGTTCAACAATCCGCATGAGAAGTGTCGAGGCAAGTGCGGTCGCGCCCATGTGTGCCAATTGTGCCTGGGCAAGCACCCGATGCATGCCTGCAAGTCTTCTCTGCCCGATGCCCGCCAAGACGACAAGCGCGAGGAGTGACTAGGGTCAGCGTCAGACCCTGAGGCTGGCGGAGGTGCCCAGCGCGCGGTTCCGGTGGAAGGGGAGGTGGACCGCAACGCGCTGGCGGCGCCGTGCGCCCTTGCGTCGGCAAAGGACGGCGATCGCAGCAGCGGCGAGTCGCAACGGCAGATGGCTGGACCTCAGGGCCCGGAGAATGTGCGGAGCGCGCAGGAACAGCATCTGACCGGAGCGGGGGGCCCAGTGCGAATATCGGACACATCTTTGTTCTGTCCTACAAGCGCTCCCATGAAGGCTCTCTATAAAGGCAAATGGAGAACGATCAATGATGGGGGCGGTTTGTGCTCACCTGGTCGATGGCCGGTGAGTGCAAGGCGTTGGCAGAAAAGCGAGGCGTGGGCGAAGTTCCAGGCAGTCCTGCGTAAAGGATTCCTACGATGGGTCCTGGAGACAAGCGGCGCAAGAAAGGATGGCAAAGATGCTGTGGCCGAGACATTTTGGCGCATGGCGGGAGGAAAGATGACGTCCTCCCCATTCCATGGATCAGCAGCAGCAACAGCGGGCGAGGCCGATGCGTTGTTACTTGAATTTGGAATCGATGCGCGGCGAAGACCGACAGATCAGTGCTCCGAAATCAATTTCCGGCGCTTGGCTGGGGGGCTGGAGCTGCTGCGCGACCCGGACTATGCGTATCTTGTAGAGATAGCGGAGCGTGGAGTGCGTATTGGAGTGGGCAGCGACATGCCAAGAGTCCCCGCGGTCTTTGAGGAGAAAACCAAGTGGAACCGCGAGTTCGTGGACACCGACATGGAGCCCGAGCAGATTGCGGCCAATTATGCTTCAGCGCGTGAACACATGTCTGTGGTGCGGCGGCAAGTCGAGGAAGAGGTTCAGAAGGGGCTTGTGGAACGCATGAGTTTAGAGGAAGCCCGGGCGCGATTCCCAGGTCGCCTTGCAATCGCAGCGCTCGGAGCCGTGCCCAAGGATGTCCAGTCTGACAAACCAGACCTGGTAAGAGTTGTCTTTGATGGTTCGTATTCCACAGATATCAACTCCAGGATCAAGGTTTTGGACCAGGTGCGCTCCCCCATCATAGATGACATCGGGGCTTTGCAACGTCAGATCAGGCAGGACGTGTGCGAGAAAGGGCAGTGCGCACGCTTCGCCTTGCTGTACGACATCGCGATGGCACACCGACTCGTGCCGGTATGCCCAGAAGACTGGGGCTTGCAGGCTTTCTCCTTGGACGATCCGGACGAAGTCTTCGTGCATCGTAGGGGTACCTTTGGCATCGCTTCTGCCGGCTACTGGTGGGCGCGCGTCGCCAGTGGGGCCGTGCGCCTGTGTCATGCGCTTGCAGACTGCGACTTGGCAGTGTATCATCTGCTCTACTCCGATGATGGATGGTTGACATCGATGGGCGATCACTTCTGGAGGCGCATGCTATTCTGGCTCTTCGTCTTGGAGGTGTTCGAGATTCCGATCAGCTGGCGAAAAGTGCGTGGGGGCACAGAAGTGCAATGGATCGGCTATCAGCTGAGTGTCGCGACGTTCAGCCGAGGAATTAGCAGCAAGAAGGTGAAATGGTTCACCGAATGGCTACACAAACATGTGGCTGCGGGGGGAGTGATGGGCAGGGATTTTCAAGCCGTGCTGGGGCGCTTATCGTTTGTGGGCGGAGCCTTACAGCATGTCAGGCCTTTTCTGGGGCCATTATTCGCATGGAACTCTGTGCTAAGACCGGAGAAGTTTGCGAAATTCCCCCTCGCGGTCCTCTTGGTTCTGAGGCTAATTCAGGAGGAGATCAGCAGGTGCCCGATGCAAGTGGTCGAGCGCATACCTGTGGAAGAGGGGGACTTCTTTCGTGTCGATGCGAAAGCCGACAAGACGTCTGTCGTGATCGGGGGATGGGAGTCTATGGGCGGCTGCCTCCCTCGGAAAGCCCGCTGGTTTTCTGTGCGGCTGGACAGGAAGACAGCCCCCTGGGTATTTGCGAAAGGAGAGCCATTCCGCGTCATAGCGTCTCTTGAGCTCTTGGCAGTCGTGGTGGCCGTCATAGTCTTCGGGCAAGACCAGCGCTGGTGGCACCGACGGGGGCAGTTGTGGCTCCCAGCCATCACTGACAACCTGGGAAACTCCTTTGTGCTGGAGAGATTCATGTCGTGCGCCTTTCCTTTATCTATGGTACTGATGGAATTGTCGGCGCAGCTGGGTCACATGGATTTACACCTACAACTAAATTGGGTGCCGCGTGACCAAAACACTGAAGCGGACGCCCTGACCAATGAGTGCTTCGATGAGTTCAACCCAGATCTGCGAATACCAGTGTGCTTTGAGAGTCTTCCGTTCCTGGTCCTGACACAGCTCATGCAGGCAGCGCAGGAGCTGGATGACAGCATACAGTTCGCGAAGACGTCCAAAGAAGCCAAAGCAAAGGATCCGTTACCGCGGCCGAAGCGTCGCAAGACAAGTTTGCGTTGGACGGAGCCGTGGTGACGCTGATGCTGCTGCTGTGCGTGAGCGGCCTGGCAGATCATCGCGGCATGGGCAGCATGGTAGGATGCCCAACAAGGATGCAGCCGAGACTGCTGCAGTGCAGAGCGTGTCGTGGGAGGGTTGCCTGGAGTGCGAGTTTTGCGTTTAGGTCAGTGGTGATGAGTCTTCGCGTCGGCTGCTGGTAGGAGGCAGGGGGGGCAAGGAACTTTCCCAGGGTCGGGGGGCGTGGTTCCTTGCCGCTTCAAGGAGGTGGGCCGGAAAGGAAGGGAGACGCACACTTGCTCGGTTGCGGAGCCCGAGTGCTGTGCGTCTAGCATGGAACCGCCTGCGGTTGGGAATTTGGTAGTTCCATGCTAGGATGGCTGAAATCAGCTGACTGCTCGATTTGCGCATCCCAGGAAAATGATGCGCAGGGTGTCACGGAGTCGTGAGGGCTGGCGGGTGGGACTTTTGTGTGAATACAACTCTAGAGACGCTGGTTAGTGCGTAGCGAAGCGAAGCACGGTAAGCGTCTCGTTGTTGCCTTGAACACAGTTTACAGTGTCGAAGCCTTTGCAGCTCGAAGGGTCTGCAAAGGGTAGAGGTCTGTTCTTGCTAGGTTGCACTTTAGACTTGCCCACCGCCGCCCCATGCACCTCCAGGGAATTTGGTAGTTCCATGCTAGGATGGCTGAAATCAGCTGACTGCTCGATTTGCGCATCCCAGGAAAATGATGCGCAGGGTGTCACGGAGTCGTGAGGGCTGGCGGGTGGGACTTTTGTGTGAATACAACTCTAGAGACGGTTTTGGTTGCCTGCCGACGCTGCTGGAGACATGTCGCAGGCCCGTTGGTTCAGCATGCTTTTCTCAGCGGCCGACCTGCCGACATGGTTCCATTGTGAGGGCGGTTCTGGACTTCAGGGCTGCATTGCTGCGTTCGAGGCTCTTGCTCAGCTTGCACTCGTGGTGTTGCGTGTACGGGAATCGGGGGTTTTGCCTGAAGGGTTCTGCTTAGTACAGTTTGCGCAGCTCTGCGACAACCAGGCCGTGACCGCGTGCTCGGTCAAGCTGCTTTCCATGCACAAGCCTTTGTGTTTTGTGCTTCAGGCTCTAGGGTACTGGGCTTGCCGTTGCCACTTTCAGCTTCAGGTTTCTCATATTGCTGGCGTTCGCAACTGTATTGCAGATCAACTTAGCCGCGGCATCGTTCCCGCCTCTTTGAGTCCATCTAACAGGCTGGTGCCTGATACTGACCAGTTGCTGAGGGCTCCGTGGGAGTCCTGAGTGTTGTCTTGTTGCACGCGGTAAGCATCTGCCGGTCACCCGGTTGGTTAGGGGTGTTTTAGCTGTGTCCGGGCATCTGCATTGAACTGATCGCACCCTTCGGTTTGGGCAGTGTTGTGTGTGGAGGGCCTTTGCCATGGGGCAAGGCTCTCCCACACTGTTGTGCGATCGGTCCAAAACAGATGCGCGCGTCTAGGGTTGTGTGTGTGTTGGGTTGCTTGCGCTAGCCGCCCGAAACCCCCTAGCGCATGCTCCGAACACTCGGCCACCCGTGCGCGTGTTACACACTTGAGCATGTTGCGTTGCGCACTTGAGTGTTCAGCTGTCGAGCTTTCAATCTGTTTGCCTGTGTGCTGCTGAAGTCGGCTTCAAGCAGCAGCCGACGAATTGTCCCACCCTCCCGCCCTAGAGAAAGGGCTCACGGCCCCACGTGGCTGAGTTAGGTTTCCCGTGACGGGCAGTGTTGTGTGTGGAGGGCCTTTGCCATGGGGCAAGGCTCTCCCACACTGTTGTGCGATCGGTCCAAAACAGATGCGCGCGTCTAGGGTTGTGTGTGTGTGTTGCGCTGCAGGAGGAATACAAATCTTCCCTGTTGGCAGTCCTTGCAGCGGCTGGGATATGTGCCGTAGCTAAGCAGCCATCCAAGCGGGCGAGAAAAGACTTGCCATTTGCGCGGCCTTCGCAGCGGGGAAGCTTATCCAGTGCGCTGAATGCCGCGTTGCCTGAAAACCAGGAAGATGCTTTGGCAGAACTTTTCGAGGACATCTGGGCACGCAGCAACTTGGCGTCGGGAGACGCCCGATGGCGAACGTGGACAAGACTCTGTAGGGCCTGGAGAGTTGATGCCCTGCCTCTCACTCGAGATGTTGTTGAGAAAGTTTCTGCTTCATTGAAACGTGGTGGTTATCGCAGTGCGCGGCAATATTTTTCGCAAGCTCGTCGTCAGCATGTGCTGCACACAGGGAAACAAGTTCCTGCCGACGTGGAGTTGTGCATGCGCGACATGACCAGAAGTCTCGAGCGTGGCCTGGGCGGCCCTGCTCTGAAAGATGCGTTTCGCCTGGAGTCGCTCGAGCTCCCTCACCCAGAAGAAGATGTGCCTGTCAGCGCGCGGACGCAGACTACTGTGGTGGTGCTTGGCTGTTGGTTCCTTCTTAGAGAAATCGAAGTTGCGGCTCTGAAGGTGAAGTACTTTGTGGTTGACGAGAAGTCGCAGACTGTGAGTTTAACGTTGCAGTCCAGCAAAACTGACACGCAGGGTGACTTGGTGATGCGATGCCATGCGTGCTATTGTCAGGTCATGCCGGCCAACTTGTGCCCTTTCCATGTCGCAAAGGCCTTCGTCAGCCTGCTCCCGCAAGATCCAGAGGCGCCCGCGTTCTCCAACAGCGAGGGCAGCGTCCTGTCCAAGGAAGAGTCAGTGCAGATGATTCGGGACGTGCTAGCTAACAGTGACGTCGAACTCACTCGTGCAGGCATGGCAGGAGAAGTGCAACGCTTTGGTGGTCATTGTCTTCGTGTAAGTGGAGCTCAGTTCTTGTCTCGCTGCAGCATCCCCCTCTCCACAATCATGTTGCTCGGACGATGGGGTTCTCGAAGTGTTGAAAGATACGTCCAAGAAGCAGCCTTGGAGAGCTTTGTAGTGACCGCACCGCGCGGAATTGGTGCTGGACAACCAGGTAGCCAGTCGCTGTCTGAAGAATCGCAGCTTGATCATGGCATGGCCACATCCTCGGAGATGCCTTCGACGCCGGCGCCTTCAACTGATACAAGAATCGGTGAGGACGTGGAAGAGCAAATCGAGAGAGCCAACAAGCAGCTACAAGAACTGTCGTTGAAAGTGGAGCAACTCCAGCAACGCCCGGAGCTTGTGATTGGCAAGAAAGCCCATGCAAGAGATCAGAACGAGCTCACGCTGCTGCCCCGTATGTGGAAGGCTCGCTGTGGCTGGCCATATGGCGGAGCGACTTTCCGCCGAGCAGGTCTGGACACGCAAGTTCAGAGATGTAAGAAATGCTTCCCTAGCAGCTCGTGCCAAGAGCCAGAGTCAATGCCTGACTCTAATACAGACTCGGATACAGAAGAGTCATCGAGTCGCTCCAGCAGTGAGTGCTCTTCGGGCAAGCAGCCTGGCAAGTGAGCTTCGACGTGCTAGTCGGAGCTGCAGAGCACAATGGGTGTGCTCTGGTTTTGCAATAAAAGGTGCCCTCGCGTGGAGGCGAGAAGATTGTCGTACCGAGGTGCTGTCGCGGAAGCAGCATGATGATCGGAAAGTGCGGGATCTGTGAGAATATATGAGCGCTGAGTGACAGCTGCTGCTGACTGCGGTATGTGATGGTGTGTTGACAGTGCGGGTGCTTGTTGTTTGTGTTTTTTTTTTATTTGCTACGCGTCATTGTGCAGTTGAATGCCGGGAGAGTGTGTGATCTTGTCAGGCCGTGTGAGGGCTGAGCTGATAGTTTGTTTGATCTGAAGGTGTTGTGCTTTGCGTTGGTCAAGGAGCCTTCGGATTGCGCGCCAATTTGGTTCTTTGCTTGCAGGTTGTGCGATAGTGGAAACTGCCCGATCCCTGAAGGCAAGCCTTGAGAGCGCCATGGCCGAGACCGAGCCGGAGCTGGCAAAGTTGCTCAAGGAAGCGGGTTTGGACGACAAGCTCGTGGACTATGTGGCCGCAAGGGACATACGCAGCCGAGACATCTTCGCGTCCATCGCAACCTCCATGAAAGAGGTCGATGCAGTTTTGATCGAGCCTTTGACCGCGGGTTTCAAAATGCCACAAGGTGAGACGCTGAAGCTTGATGCGCTCCAGTTGCCCATTGCCCGCGCCAAGCTTCGCTTTGTGTGGCGCAAGTGTTCAGAAGCCTTTTCCGTGTCGACCGCTTCGGCCGCTGCAACTGTGCCGTCATCTGTTCCTGCGAGCAAGTCCACAAAGGAGCTGCCGCCGGGGTACTGGCAGATGCAGGTCGCGAAGTACGAGATGGTACAGATCGGAGGCGAGTCCCGCAAGTTCCCTCAGGAGCTCCTGCTAGGGACAGAGGCCATCCTCGCGCGCATTATCAATGAGATGAAGTCGCTGTCACACACTTCAGTGGCATTGCACGAGTTGGTCCAGGGCCGCTTCTTCAGCCGAGGCGGAGATCCAAACCCACTCTGTCCCGCAAAGAAACGGGCCAAAGCATCGACCACTGTCCTGACCATCAATCAGGACAATCAGCTCGAAACCGCCCCGGACGCACAGTGGAGCCCGAAGTCAGTCCTCTCGTTCTTAGATTGCTTAGAGGCGATTCGGTATGCGTTCATCCTTGTCGAGCTTGGGCCAGAGCCTGCGGTCATCCGGTACATCGAATGGTGGGAGAAGCAGGTTCGAGCAAGGCAGTATCGCTTAGAGCAGTTGAAAATCTTTTGGGACATAGCCGCCTGGCGCATTGCGATGGCTTTGCGCAGCAAGATTGACTTTGCCACTGTGACGACGGAGATCATGAACGACAATCAGGCACTCCAAGACGCATTGAACCGCGAGGTCGTGCTGGAGAAGTTTCCCAAGCTGCCCAAGCATGATGCCTTTCGTGTTGATCATGCGCGAGGAGGCAAAGGTAAAGGAAAATATGGGAAGGACTGGAAGGACCGAAAGCGAGCGTGGGATGAGGGCAGCTACGAGCGTCGCTGGAGTGATCGCCGATGGGACGACAATCGCTACTACGGCTCGCAGTGGGATCGCAGCTATTCAGATCGCCAGCATCGTGCCAGCAGTGCCTACGAACAGCAGGCCAGAGAGTAGGGACAGCGCGGGCCGCCTGTTGCGAACTTCTCAACGGGTGGACCCGACCAGTGCAAAGAAGCGTTGCAGAGAACCTGGTCAAGTTCCACCTCCAAGGAGACCGACAACCGTGAAGGAGATCCTATCCGGCTCGTCCCAGCAGAACATGTTGCGAAGCGGAGAAGGATGATAGATGCGAAAGCGCCAGACCTCATATTGTTGAGTTTCTTTGATGGGGTTGCGTCGGCTGCGTTGTTGTGCCAGCAGATTTGCAGCGAAAGGAGTTGGAAGTGGCAAGCAGTTCTGTGGGAGTCCAACCCCGAATTGCGTCAGCTTGCATCAAAGAAGTTCCCCAGCGCAATCCTCAAGGAAGACGTCGACGAGGAGACGCCCGAAAAGATTATCGACTTCCTAGAGCAAATCGACCCGGGCTCGAAGGCACTTGTGATCATTGCAGCCGGTCCTCCCTGTCCTGATTACAGCAGAGTGCGTGAGAATGCCCCTGGGACGGCTGGCCCAGAGGGGTCCAAGTTTGTGCGATTTGCAGAACTGGTCAAGTCCTTTGTTGAGAACGTGGTTCCCCAAAACAAAGAAGATGTGCGAAAATTGGAGCGTGCCTTGTCAGCGGAAGCAGTAATGCATGATGCGTCAGATTTTGGCTTGATCGCCCGTCCGCGACTGTGGTGGACGCGGATCCCATGGCAGGAGCTATCTCATCGAAATGATTGCCCTTTCACGATGAGGTGGTCCACGTACCAAGGTCTTCCTCGGGTGCGTTTCAACGTCTCGCCCGACAAGCTCGAGGATTATGACCTGGGCGACCTTAGCTGGCCACAGTGCATTATGGACAAAACACCTTTACCATGCTTGACTACGCCAGCTGAAGATCCAAAAGGACGGCCAGCTCCAAGGTCTTGCAAAGGCAAGACATCCTCCGACGCGCAGCAAAGGTGGCTGCGAGACGGGCGACAATATGCTCCGTGGCATTACGAGGCTGACAACATGTTTCGGCAGACTGACAATAGGCTAGTGCTTGCTCCGGCCGAAGTCAAAGAACAGCTTCACCATCTGCCTCGAGGATGGACTGAGGGCCTTCGCGGGACAGCTCGGCATCGTGCCTTGGCCAATGGCTGGCACATTGGTGCAGCCAGGTTCTTCCTTGTTCTGGGAATCCTCGCAGCAACGCCACAAGCTGCGCCTGCGCGAGAGCTTTCCCCGTTGGGAGGTACTGCGATCGATGCAATGGCAAAGTTATGGGAGACGAAGCCCTTGCTGAATGGGCCAGGTGTTCCAGTGTCGGAAGACGCGCTGGATCTTTCGGCCATTCTTGATCCAGAAGAGCACTGGAGCGCTGCCTGTCGAGTCTCCCATCAGAATCAGTCACGCCCGCAGCTTGAACCAGGCCTCCTTCAATGGCTACCGCTGTGGCAGCACTGGCGGAGGGTTGTTCCCGAGATGAGATACGCCGTGGCCAAAGAAGTCGAGCAGCTAGTGAGCGACCTTGACGACAGCGTGCAGAAGTGGTACTTTGGCCTAAAGCCGCATGTTCAGAAAGCTTATTGTGCTAAAGACCGGGCCTGCTCAGTGCAAGTCCCAGTGATTAGGCACTTGGCGTCCATCTTTGGTTGGGGGGACATGGACATTTTCGACGAATTGACAGAAGGCTTCCCTCTTCTAGGCAGTTTGCGGCCAGGTCTGGGGTGGCGCCTTCGTGATGACGCCCGTTATAGCGAGCCGATTCCCATCACCGAGTTTTGGCAGGAGAACCTCAAAGTAGTTCAGCGGAAACTTCAACAGCAACGAGTAGACCCTGCGTGGGAGATCATGGCGGCCGAAATCGCGGCCGATGTGAAGTTGGGACGCATGGAAGGGCCTTTCACGGCGCCGCCGTGTTGGGGGAAGTCGATGGTGGCCTTAGCAGACTACCAGCACACCAATGCACTATTGCCAGGACCTTGTCAACATGTACCTTGTTGCTTTGCTTTCGCAGTACATCAGGTGGGTTCCGACGGCCAGCCTAAAGTGAGACGCGCTGAAGATTGGAAGCGGTCGCTGGCAAACTCAACAGTAGGTGCAGAAGACAGTCCAGCCTATCACGACGTGTCAGCGTTCGTCAAACTGGCCAAGGCTTTTCGACGAGCGGGTGTGTCTGACAAGCTGTTGCTGTGGGGCCTGGATCACGAGTCGGCTTACAGGCAGTTCCCTGCGGCTGAGCCCGAGCACACCTATGTTATCTTGAACACTCCCAGTGGGCCGACGCTGTGGCGCCATAACGTGCTCATGTTTGGGAGCACAGCTTCAGTCTGGTCCTACTGCCGCGTTGCTGACTTGATGGCTTGGATCAATAGGTGCATGCTTTTAGTGCCCGCTTTGCACTTCGTTGATGATTTTGGTTCGTGTGAGCCTGAAGACACAGCCCAGAGTGCGTTTGAGACCTCGCAGCAGTTGTGCCGAGCTTTAGGGTTGAAGTTCAAGGAGTCCAAAGCACAACCTCCGGAGCCTGAACATGTCATTCAAGGCGTGAAGATCAGCGTCCACTCCGAGGAGGCAGTGCTTTCGTGCACACAGGTTCGAAAGGACAGGATGGAGTCAAGCCTGGTGCAGCTCTTGCTCGACAACCGTCTGAAACCGCCTGAAGCGTCAGCCTTGGCAGGTAATTTGCAGTTCTTGGCCTCTTCCTTGTTCGGCAAGTCCAGTGCTGCAGCGATCAGAGCGTTCCATCAGAGAGCTAGAACAGGAGTGGCGGCCGATTATAAGCAGGGCTGGACGCTGAACCAAGCCCTACGCGATGCCATTGCGTTCTTGAAGTACAGCTTCGAGCAGAATGTGCCTCGAGTCATAAAGTTCTTTGTGCCGGGGAGGTCCATCGTCTATGCAGACGCTTTCTTCCAGCTCGGGGATGAACGCTTTAACTTCCGCAACATGGACGATGCGCCAAGTTGGGGCCATGCTTCGCCTGCAGCCTTCGCAAATGGATGGGGATTTGTGGCGACTTCAGGAGAGCAGACTTGGTATGCCATGGGGCATGTGCCGTTGTGGTTCACGCGTCATTTTTGTTCACGCAGAGCGTACATTTACATGTTGGAGATCATCGCGCAAGTGTTGCCTCTCTACGCGTTGTCCAAACTGCTGTACCGTGACGTCATCCTTTTCGTTGACAATGAGCCTGCTCGCCATGCATTGGTCAAAGGCTATAGCAGAGACAGCAATGCGAACAAACTCTTACAGACTGCCTGGTGTTGCTTTGAGGAAAGTCGATATCAGCCACAATGGCAGCGCGTGGCCAGCTCTGCAAACATCAGTGATGCGGTCAGTCGGCAAGACGACTCCTTTGCAAAGAAGTCAGGGTGGACTCTCTTCAGTGCAGACTGGAACTCCATCTTCGACGAGCTGCTGCGGCGATGCTTGCAAGGGCCTCTGAAGGGGCTCTGAGAGGGCGTAGGTGCGCAGGTAATGGATTTGCAGGCGGCGCACCTATGGTGTTCGCGCCCGATGACGGCCGCCGTAAGTGCGGACCAGATCATCAGGGCGCCAAACGCCGCCAGCCATCCGAATGCCAAAAAGTTTGGAGCCGAACACTTGCTTGTGTGCGGATTGAGTTGTCTGTGTGCATAGTGAGATGTCATGTAGTGCAACCCTTGCACGGATTGACATACTCGAGCGACGCACCGTTGCAGTCGCCTTGCTCAAAGTGTCGGAAATTCGAGCCCGCCCTCACCGCCCTAAGTGTGGTGGGGTGTTCGCGCCCGATGACGGCCGCCGTAAGTGCGGACCAGATCATCAGGGCGCCAAACGCCGCCAGCCATCCGAATGCCAAAAAGTTTGGAGCCGAACACTTGCTTGTGTGCGGATTGAGTTGTCTGTGTGCATAGTGAGATGTCTGCCTGGCACCTTGCAGTCCTTGAGCTTCGGGTACACTTACAACCAAAGCTTGGATGATGTGACGTTTGCCTGACAGCCTGCAGTCCTTGAGCTTCGTGACGTTTGCCTGGCAGCTTGCAATCCTTGAGCTTCGGGCACGCTTACAACCAGAGCTTGGATGATGTGACGTTTGCATGACAGCTTGCAGTCCTTGAACTTCGTGACGTTTGCCTGGCAGCTTGCAATCCTTGAGCTTCGGGCACGCTTACAACCAGAGCTGGGAGTTTGTGACGTTTGCCTGGCAGCTTGCAGTCCTTGAGCTTCTGGTACGCTTGCAACCAGAGCTTGGAGAATGTGACGTTTGCCTGGCAGCTTGCGGTCCTTGAGCATCTAGTACGCTTACAACCAGAGCTTGGAGAATATGACGTTTGCCTGGCAGCTTGCAGTCCTTGTGTGACGTTTACCTGGCAGTTTGCAGTCCGTGAATTTCGGGTATGCCTACAACCAGAATTTGGACAATGTGACGTTTGCCTGGCAACTTGCAGTCCTTGAGCTTCGTGACGTTTGCGCCTGGCGGCTCGTAGTCCTTGAGATTAGGGTACACCTACAACCAGAGCTTGGACAGTGCGATGCTTGCCTGGCAGCTTGCCGCTTCGGGCACGCTTACAACCAGAGCTTGGAGAACGTGACGTTTGCCCGGCAGCTTGCAGTCCTTGAGCTTCGTTTTCGCTTACAACCAGAGCTTCGACAATGTGCTTGCAATCCTTGAGCTTCAGGTACGCTTACAACCAGAGCTTGGAGAATGTGACGTTTGCCTGGCAGCTTGCAGTCCTTGAGCTTCGTCACGTTTGCCTGGTAGCTTGCAGTCCTTGAGCTTCGGGTACGCTTACAACCAGAACTTGGATTGGAGAGTGTGACGTTGGCCTGGCAGCTTGCAGTCATTGAGATTCGGGTGCGCTCACAACCGGAGCTTGGACAATGTGACGTTCGCCTGGCAGCTTGCAGTCCTTGAGCTTCGTGACGTTTGACGCAGACGGCGTTCAACAAGGCGGTGCAGGCCGACCGTGCCCCACACCCTTTCCCCTCCAACCTCGTCGCAAGAACACGCCAGCCAATTTCAGAAATGGTATCCGAATCGACAAGTACCACCACAGGACTACGCCACCGGCATGACCATGGACCACGCGGGCGTAGTCAGCACGTGCCTATGTTGGTGTCGGGGGTACCGGCTCGGGTTGGGCTTGGCAGTACTCCCGGCTCTCTCTTGCACATGCAGCGTTGTACCATAGTTCTTTGCTTGCGACAGTTTGACAGGCTTGCGTGTGTAGACTGTCAAGCCGGTGTCGTTAGGGTCTGGCAGGCAGTGTGGACCAATTTTGAAGTCCCACCCGCCCGCCCTGGATTGGACCAGACTGCTGACCAGAATTTTCGCAATGCCGCAAAAGAAGAGGGCTTTGCCTGTGGTACCAATAGTTTAACAACAGCCGCATAAGAGCATGAGAGAGCAGTGACGATCCCCACCCCCTTCCTCCCTAAACTCAGCGTCATGCAGTGAAGTGCGATTTTGATCATGCATATCACGCAGCTTGTCCCTACCCCAGTCCCTCACCTACCCAGAGCGCTTTTCACCAGTGGCTGACGTAGTGGCAGCCTGGCAGCTTGCAGTCCTTGAGCTTCGGGTACGCTTACAACCAGAGCTTGAACTGGAGAGTGTGACGTTGGCCTGGCAGCTTACAGTCCTTGGGATTCGGGTACGCTTACAACCAGAGCTTGGAGCATGTGACGTTTGCCTGACAGTTTGCAGTCCTTGAGCTTCGGGTACGCTTATACCCAGAACTCGAAGAATGTGACGTTTGCTAGACAACTTGCAGCCCTTGAGCTTCGCGACGTTTGCCTGGCCACTTACAATCCTTGAGCTCCGGGCACGCTTACAACCAGAGCATGGAAAGTGTGACGTTTGCCTGGCAACTTGCAGTCCTTGAACTTCGGGTGCGCTTGCAACCAGAGCTTCGAGAATGTGACGTTTGCCTGATTAGGGTACGCCTACAACCAGAGCTTAGACAGTGCGATGTTTTGCCTGGCAGCTTGCCGCTTCGGGCACGCTTACAACCACAGCTTGGAGAACGTGACGTTTGCCTGGCAGCTTGCAGTCCTTGAGCTCCGTTTACGCTTACAACCAGAGCTTCGACAATGTGCTTGCAATCCTTGAGCTTCGGGTACGCTTACAACCAGAGCTCGGAGAATGTGACGTTTGCTTGGCAGCTTGCAGTCCTTGAGTTTCGTCACGTTTGCCTGGTAGCTTGCAGTCCTTGAGCTTCGGGTACGCTTACAACCGGCACGCTTGCAACCACACCTACCCCACACCCTTTCCCCCCACCACGTCACAGGAACATGCCCGTCAATTTCTGAGACCCTACCCCACCCCCTTTCCCCCACCACGTCCGCTTTTCAAAACAGCTTGCAGTCCTTGAGCTTCGGGTGCACCTACAAGAACTTGGAGAATGTGACGTTCGCCTGGCAACTTGCAGTCCTTGAGCTTCGTGATGTTCGCATGGCGGCTTGCAATCCTCGAGCTTCGGATACGTTTGCGACCAGAGCTTGGAGAGTGTGACGTTTGCCTGGCACCTTGCAGTCCTTGAGCTTCGGGTACACTTACAACCAGAGCTTGGATGATGTGACGTTTGCCTGACAGCCTGCAGTCCTTGAGCTTCGTGACGTTTGCCTGGCAGCTTGCAATCCTTGAGCTTCGGGCACGCTTACAACCAGAGCTTGGATGATGTGACGTTTGCATGACAGCTTGCAGTCCTTGAACTTCGTGACGTTTACCTGGCAGCTTGCAATCCTTGAGCTTCGGGCACGCTTACAACCAGAGCTGGGAGTTTGTGACGTTTGCCTGGCAGCTTGCAGTCCTTGAGCTTCTGGTACGCTTTCAACCAGAGCTTGGAGAATGTGACGTTTGCCTGGCAGCTTGCGGTCCTTGAGCATCTAGTACGCTTACAACCAGAGCTTGGAGAAAATGACGTTTGCCTGGCAGCTTACAGTCCTTGTGTGACGTTTACCTGGCAATTTGCAGTCCGTGAATTTCGGGTATGCCTACAACCAGAATTTGGACAACGTGACGTTTGCCTGGCAACTTGCAGTCCTTGAGCTTCGTGACGTTTGCCTGGCGGCTCGTAGTCCTTGAGATTAGGGTACGCCTACAACCAGAGCTTGGACAGTGCGATGCTTGCCTGGCAGCTTGCCGCTTCGGGCACGCTTACGACCAGAGCTTGGAGAACGTGACGTTTGCCTGGCAGCTTGCAGTCCTTGAGCTTCGTTTTCGCTTACAACCAGAGCTTCGACAATGTGCTTGCAATCCTTGAGCTTCAGGTACGCTTACAACCAGAGCTTGGAGAATGTGACGTTTGCCTGGCAGCTTGCAGTCCTTGAGCATCGTCACGTTTGCCTGGTATCTTGCAGTCTTTGCGCTTCGGGTACGCTTACAACTTGGAGAGTGTGACGTTGGCCTGGCAGCTTGCAGTCATTGAGATTCGGGCGCGCTCACAACCGGAGCTTGGACAATGTGACGTTCGCCTGGCAGCTTGCAGTCCTTGAGCTTCGTGACGTTTGACGCAGACGGCGTTCAACAAGGCGGTGCAGGCCGACCGTGCCCCACACCCTTTCCCCTCCAACCTCTTCGCAAGAACACGCCAGCCAATTTCAGAGATGGTATCCGAATCGACAAGTACCACCACAGGACTACGCCACCGGCATGACCATGGACCACGCGGGCGTAGTCAGCACGTGCCTATGTTGAGCAGTGACGATCCCCACCCCCTTCCTCCCTAAACCCAGCGTCATGAAGTGAAGTGCGATTTTGATCATGCATATCACGCGTTCATGCGCAGCTTGTCCCTACCCCAGTCCCTCACCTACCCAGAGCGCTTTTCACCAGTGGCTGACGTAGTGGCAGCCTGGCAGCTTGCAGTCCTTGAGCTTCGGGTACGCTTTCATCCAGAGCTTGAACTGGAGAGTGTGACCTTGGCCTGGCAGCCTTACAGTCCTTGGGATTCGGGTACGCTTACAACCAGAGCTTGGAGCATGTGACGTTTGCCTGACAGTTTGCAGTCCTTGAGCTTCGGGTACGCTTGTACCCAGAACTCGAAGAATGTGACGTTTGCTAGACAACTTGCAGCCCTTGAGCTTCGTGACGTTTGCCTGGCAGCTTGACAGCTTGTAGTCCTTGAGCTTCGGCTACGCTTGCAACCAGAGCTTAGAATTCAAGCCAACAGCACCACGCCAAGATGACCACGCAGATCGGCACCACACACGCAAGCAGTACCGGTTTCCTCTTTGGTCATTTTGTTTTCAATTTCACCAAAAACGAGTCCTGTTCTATCTCACCTACCTCTGACGCTTGGCTTGGAGCGAGCAAAAGAATTGAGACCAACTGCGAGTCGACTTCCTTCATCCATCATGTTAACATTTCATTATTTGAAACATGCATGTCTGAGCTCGTTTGCATGTCATCATGTTTCACATGTGGTCCACTTCCAACAGAGTTTCTTCTTCCTAACATACCTCATGATGAC